ATTTATTCATTATTGTATTTTATATTATATTTATTATTAATTATTAGTTAGTCAATAGTTATATTATATAGTAGATAGATGAAAGGATTTTAATTGGTTATTAGAAATGTAGTACAGCCACATAACACTGAGTAACATCTGTGATATTACTATTGTCTTACAAACTCTAAGTACCTCTATATAAGTTTTATGTATCCTAGTATCAAATTACTGTGCCAAATGCCATAGCACAAGAATCTCAAGTATCCTCAATATGAAATCCAAGTTTTTTCACATGAATTCCAAGTATCTCTACACAAATTCCAAGTGCCTTTGCATGGATCTAAGTATCTAAATACAACCCCAAGTGTTTCAAGCATAAATGACAAATGATATAAACAATATCTTCAGATGCCTTTGCATAATCCTTACTATTTTAAGTACAGTATTATTTAATGTTGTTCGAACCTTTACTATCCCAAATACAATGATATTTAATATTGTTCGAATTCTCATTATCCCAAGTACAGTATTAAGTAATGTTGCTCGAATTCTCACTATTCTTGTTAGGTAAAAAAATATATAAAAGCTAACTTTTACCCTTCTCTGCCAATTCTAAGTTCCTATATTTCAACCTAGACCCTTCTATCTTTACTCCTAATTTGTAAAAATGATATTCCTCTTCTAGAGTAATTCCTATAGACAAGGTTGTCACTATGTGTTTATTTAATAAAAGTTAATCTATATACTGTTACTATCTCGAACCATTTGCTTGCTGCTGTGTAGTAAAGTAAACTACTACACCTCCACCCCATATATATTTGCAATAGTTAATCACTATACTAGGTGACTTTGTTACTTGGTTGTATTGTACTAAGAAGACTACAACTCTATAACAGTATATATGATTTTAGTATTTATAGTTTTTTTAAAAAAATGTCATTAAAGTGGTATTAAGGTAAGGGTAGAGCTATAAAAAAGAATATATAATAAAATTTTTCAAGAAATTTTTTTTGTTAGAATGCATAAGTTAGCTTCATATAAGCAAAATTTCAAGCTAAAATCGATGTGACAGTAGGATGTTCGATGTACTATATAAATCAAATCTATATGTAGTCCTATATGAAAATCAATTAGTAAAAAAATTTCGTGTAACATTTATAATGAACTACTGCGACAACAATATAGTTACAGTAAAATTTCAGATTTTATTATTTTTTGAGCTATAAAAAAAAACTCTCCATCATATTAAAATATACTATCCACTGAACTCTCATGCGAAATTTCTAAATAGATTAATATACAGAATGTCGAGAAGATATATGGAACTACAAATTGTATCTTCTCGACATTCTACATATTAATCGATTTGGAAATTTCGCGTGAAAGCATAATGGATAGCAAATTTTAATAAAATAGAGAACTTTTTTTCATAAACTGAAAAACAATAGATTATTACATTCACGTTAATAATTAAAATACTGCACTGACAGTATAATTTCGATAAAAATTTAATTATTTTTCCGGAAATGAAAAAAAGCTCTATTTTATTAAAATTTGCTATCCATTATGCTTTCACGCGAAATTTCCAAATCGATTAATATGTAGAATGTCGAGGAGATACAATTTGTAGTTTACAATTTAGCAGAAAATTGCCATATATCTTCTCGACATTCTGTATATTAATCTATTTAGAAATTTCGCATGAGAGTTTAGTGGATAGCGTATTTTAATGCAACAGAGAGCTCTTTTTTTATAGCTCGAAAAATAATAAAAAACTGAAATTTTATCGTAACTTAATAGTGCCGCAGTAGTTTATTATGAATGTTACACGAAAAATTTTTACTAATTGATTTTCATATTAGAACACCCCAATGTGACGGATAAAAAGTGTGATTTCCAAATCGGCCCTTTAGAAACGCAATGCATATTCACGTGATATATTGTGTATTTTGTGGCTTATGCGCCACCTGGCACAAATTCAAGAACTGCTTTAATAATGGTTTTTTTTTGTATTTTTAAACTCAATAATAATAATATTTAGGCAAAGATGTGGCATGCGGCGAGACAACAAGAAAAAAAGGTGCCTATATTTATGTATTTTTGAGACCAATTATATCTTTACTTATTATAGTTCTCCACTAATAGATCAAAGAGTTGATGGTGGATCATAAAAAAAGAGCAGAACGAAGGAGAGCATACTATGAATCTCGCGTAAGTTCTTAAAATTCAAACTCACTATTTTGAAATTTTCTAATCGATTGATTCGTTCTTAATTCAGCTTGGTGATCCTAGTCAACTACTTCGCCTTACTGGTACAGCGACTAAACTTTTTCCTAACGCGGAGCAACATTATTTCTATGAAAATTCCGAAAAGTCCCTGTAGGCTAGAGTTTCTTCCGAATTTAGTCATTATCAAATACTAATGTTTCATATTAGGCATTGTTTTTTTAGTCACCCTTGTGTACTTTGACCATTGTTTGATATTCCTGTTAATTTAATAAAGATATTCTATTTAACCTAATAAATACCTATGATTAGAATGCAATGGCAAGGAGATGCTGAAACAAGAATTGATAGGTTAGTTTAGTAGATTGTAAGAAATTCTTGAAATTTTTCGAATGCTTAACCTGAAGTTTATTGTTTGGCATTGTTGATAAATGCAATGTTAGATTTGATGGGCGTGCGCTATTAGATTATCTGCCAGAAAATATCCCAAACATGTTTGTTCTTCCTACAGATGAAAGAGATTTACAAGAGGAACTTAATTTTGAAAGGTTTCGTGACTTGGTCGAAAATGAGCGTCGTAATGGTTAGTCAAATTCAACCTTTTTTTTTTAAAAAAAAAATAAAAATTTATAAGTATCGTTGATCATTTTCAAACTAGTTTCAGAAGATAGCTGCCTTGAGGAAATTGAGGCTGAATGGACAAGTCTATTGGAAAGACATAAAGCAATGATCAAAAAGCTACAAGAGTATTTATGATTATACATATATTTTATTCTTTATTCGAATAACCCTTAACAAGCAATTTTCTTTAGGAAATCTGATACAAATAATCAGGGTTTTGGATATGATTATGGCACAGAGAAGCAGGATGAAATCCCTAGTGATGAAGAATCACATCATCTTGATGATATCCATTCATATAATGCTAAAACGGAAAATCATTATTATAGTTAGCCAGTCTTTTCTGTTATGTTTATCTTGACATATTTTTATACAGGAAGATATTCTAGATTATGTGGATGATTTAACTGATAAAGATCGACATACGTTAAATATCATGGGAAAAAAATATCAAATCCCAGACTATACCAGATTATTACGCATCGCAAAACGTGATAGAGAAGAAAAGGCGCAAGAATTTAAAGAAAGTCAGAAGGTAATATAGGTAGAAATATATTATATGTAATTACATTAAACGAATAAGGTTGATGACATAAATTGGCAATTATCTTAAAGATTAAAGAAAGAAAGTCGCGGCGTCATATGTCACGAAAGGAAGAACATGGAGAAAAAATTCACACGCAAAATCGGTATAATACTCTTTAATTGGTCGGAATTTTAAGTTTACTCATGTAATAACACTAAATTTCTTTTAGATCTTATTCAATCAGGGATTCTCCTACATACGAACCTTACACAGATTCGTGAGTTATCTTAAATATTTTTGTTAGCCAGTATTTCTATATATATTATATGTGTAGCTAATACATCATTTTTCCTCTAGCGATTCATCAACGAGCTTGTCAGATGAAGAAGAAGTTGGAAATTTTGTGATTGAATTTGGCAATTCCGAAGAAAATGCATCGGAATCAAGTTCTTCTCGACCACATTATTCTCACAAAGAGGAAATATCTCTAGTACATTCGCAAAAAGGATCATTGTCACATACACGGTTGGTGAAGTTTCTTTTTCCACACTATGATGGATCCGATTACCAAGAAACTTTCGCGATAAATGAAGAAAATTGCGAATGTCTACAATAGACTTGTTGAAAAAAAGGACATTTCTCCTTATTATATCTTTTTTGTTGTAGAAAATATTGATTATGAATGGGTTAATGGTTAAATTCCTACTGTTTATTGACTTGTTTTTATTTATATCCATTATTGGTCAATATTGAAGGAAAACTGAAACATTATCTAGCCAAAAATCAACCGTGATATCAACCAGCTCACATATTAATACAAACAATAAGGCACCTCCAAAAAAATTGACACCTGCAGAAAAACTACGCTTGAAACTTCAAATGGGTTTGAATAAACAAATTCAAGTGGATGAGAAAAAGAAAATCCAGAAGGAACGTGAGCAGAAGTTTGAGCGCCTGGGAAGTGAGGAAATTGAAAAGCATTTAATCAAATCCGCCAACAAAAGGCTTAAAAGGTTTGCTTTATTGTTCTTTATTACCAGTTTAATGAATAAAGGTTGAAAATAATTAATTAATTATTCAGATCCATATCACATGAACGGACTCGTCAAACTGGTGCATAGGTTGCGACTCAAACCTTTTTTAAATGATGACATGATTACGTAGTTTGGTTTGGGAATTTGGATTTCAACTTCATTAAGGATAATCAGAAACAGCCAAGAGTATCAAACTCGAAAACCGGTCAAATTTATTAAATCAGTGCTATAAATTATTAAAATTTCGTTTTCATTTTCAAACTAGAATCTAAGGGTGATTCAGTGACTAAGCAGGATATGTTAAATAAATTGATATATTAGGTCTAATAATTATTTCGGAGCTTTATCGTTGTTAGTTGTAATATATTCACGTTACATTGTATCGTCTGACAAACGCGTAATTTTTTTTTTTTGAACATTCCGTGAATGTCACGACTGATGCATTTATATCCGCGATTTGTATCAATCCAATAATTAGATTTCAGAAGAACCATATACATATTTTTTCTGTAAATTAAAATATACATGATATGATGTGTTGTGTTTCTATGAGTTCAGCAACAATTATACTTGAACGAAACAAATGTATAAATTATTGTGTCTTGTCTATTTGCTCAAACGATAGTTATCCATGGACATATCTGTCAAGTGCATGGTATGATAATGATGACTGTATTTTTCCGTCAAAAATTTTGTTCAAGCATTTGAGGAATATACTTCTTCCCAATGCTGAAAAGATAGCAGCTTTCAAAAGCAGAATATAAACATTGATTCTGAAAAAACACATCTATGAATGCTATAAATCAATCTTTTCATATCAAAGATAACCCGTCGATATTGAACTAGCTGATTAATAAAGGCTGGATATATGAAGTAAAAATGGTCAGATCCCAAATAAATCTAGACAGTAACGTTATGAGTGTTGCAGAATGAAAACCTGTAACTGTACTTTATGATTCGCTATGATCAGTTACAGGTTTTCGCTCTGCAATACTCTTAGGTGCAGTATTATCATTTCATTTATTAAATTTGACATTAATCTGATTTTACCCTGACTAATCACCTGGAAAATTTATTAAAAGTAGATAAAAAAAAAATTTATACAAAACTATGTTACTTGATTAAAATTTCCATGGTCAGAGTAATTATGCAAAATAATTTATTTATTTTTTTAATATTAAAGGTAGGGTGTAAGGTTTTAAATTATATGTAAACTTGATAGTTTTTTTTGTAATTTTAATTACAAATATTTTTACTAATTAAATATTTTTTGAGCTTCTAAGATTTTAGCAGTAGTAAAATTATTAAAATTGGTTTAAAACTTATTAATATATGAATTTTTAAAGATTAGAAATTAGTTAGACTCTTTTGTGTAATAAGAAAAAAACATAAAGCAAACATCTTATAAAGTAAATGTTACAGATTATTGTGAAATCAGATTATCATAAAATCCACATAACCTGTACCTGTATATTATTTCATATGGCCAAGAGCCAGCATTCTAAAAATTCTGAATCAGGTATCATATCATGCAACTTGATCATTAAAAAAAAAAACAAATCATTTCTTTAATACCTATTTAAGTAAAAGCAACACCTATTTAAGTAAAAGCAAATTAATAGTAACTTACAAGATCTTTTCAGATATGTAATTTTTTACCAATTAGATTAAAGAATTGGTATAATATAAAATTAAAACAATCAAATTAAGTGAAACATTTTAAAGCAATAACATTATTTTTAGAATTAGAATAAAAGATGATAAATAAATAGTTTATACTAAAATTTTATAAAAATTCTTTTTTATTAGAATGCAAAAGGCAGTTTTATAGTTAAAATTTTGAATTAATTATGATTTTTTAAAAAGACTTGATTTTTATATTACATTTGATTTTTCAATCTAATTGGCTAGAATCACATGCTAGAAAAAATCTTGTATATATGTTTAAAGCAATATTAACTCAAAAAAAGTAATACTCACCTACTTAAGAAAAGTAATGCAAAAAAAGTAGACTTTCATCTGCCCAAAAAAATAGACTCTCATATACTTATCCAAGAAAATAGACTTTATTTACTTATACAAAAAAAAATCTTTCAAGATTTTTTTTTTTTTTAAACATAGTGTTAATTCTCAAAATTTCTGAAACAGTTAAGATGTAACAGATAATAATTAAGTATCTTCAGTTAGAAACTTTTCTAACTAACATTTTAAAAAGCCTCACTACTCCTATCATATAATTCAACTTTGTTTATTACTACAAAAATTTTGAAGTTAACAAAAATAAAATTCTTTATATTAAGTCAGTTGTAAAGAATAATATGATTATATTTAAAAAATTTCATATAGTTTTCAAATACAATATAAAAATGTATGTTATAATTTTGAAGCATTTTTATAATTAAACAAATTATTGTAAATACTATAAAACCTTTTTATCAATTTTAGAAAGACACATTAAAATTACTCAAAAAGAGGTAAAAATATATATAAACAAATATGTCATTTGTGTTATAAATACTATCATTAAAGAAAAATTAATATAATTTTTATAATATTTTTGGGCTCTTGGTAGCATATTCTAATCAATTTTTGCAAATTTGTTGAAGAAAAAGATAATTTTTCATGACTACTTACAAATGTGTATATGTTTTCTAAGTTTTTTGTTACTATTTCAATAAAAAATAAGAAAGCAGAAACAGTTGCAACATATCTTTTTAAGAATGTTTTTATAATTCTTGAGTTTTACAAGGTTTTTTAAAGTAATAATGATAAGAAATTTGATGCAAATATAATTATACAAATTTGTAAAGTTTTGAACATTAAAGTTAGGCATAGTCAGTTCTGGTATTTATAGTTACAAAGACAAATTAAGTAATTTAATTAGACTGTGAGCCATGGTTTTACTAAGTTACTTTAAGATCAAAACAATTAATTACAAAAAAAGAACTGAATTAATGTAATCAACATATTTGTTATATTGTATAATTTGATAGTTTACAGGGCATATAGCTATACATTATATGAAGTACTTTTTAGATAGAAAATGTATTGTGTTTATGATACTTCTAGTATAATTGATTAGTTGATGTTTAACTTATTAAAGAGGTTTGGATTAGCAAACTTAAAATAAGTAGTGTTAGAGTAGTTATATTAGATTTTAGAATTAGATTTTAGTTTTTTTTTTTTTTTTTATTAAGTTTTAGAATTATAATTGTCTTTTTTTATAAAAGTTGCTTCTTAGAATATCATTACAGAATTTTCTATTACTATTATTGAAATTACTACTACCCAAGCTGTTGACCTCAAAGTTGTTGTTACCACTATTACTGATATTACTATTACTCAAGTTGTTGCCTCTGAAGCTGCTACTACTATCACTAATACTACTACTAATGCAGTCACTACTACCTAAGCTGTTGTCTCTAAAACTGCTACCCAAACTGCTAAATCCAAAACTATAAAAAAATGTTTTTTATACATATTAGAACTCCAAAAATCTGCAAATAAATTATTTAAAAGTATTATGTAAGAATATATTAACAAGAAAGTATGCATAGAAAAAAAATAACTAATAATATAATTGAAGTTAAGGCTACAATTGCTATTGCATTAGACTATAATATGAATTAGCAAACTAAGAAAAGAATGTTACAACTAACTTTTTATCAATAAGATATATTTAAATCATTCATATTCAACAATCAAACTACAGTTGTTAAAGTAAATGATAAAGACATTTAGGTTCTTATTAAGCAAGTTAAGATCATATATAAGAAGATATAAGTAAACAAACCATTTTTTTTAAAAAAAAAAATAATAAATAAAAAAATAAAATAAAATAAAAAAAAATATAAAAAAAATAAAAAACAAAATAAAACAAATAAAAAAATAAAAATAAAAATAAAAAAACAGGTTTTAAGACAAAAAATTTTCTAGAAAAAAAAATAAAAATAAATTGTTTTTTTGAGACAAAAAATTTTCTAAAAAACTATAAGTATTTTAAAGTATCTTTTTTTTTGTAAACCAAATTTTGATTCAATAAAAATAAAATTTTTAGAATTATCACACATAGCTATATTACTTCTAGTATTATATAATCAAATTAAAATTCAAAATTTAATGTAATATAAATTAAAACAAACAATCAAAACTAAATTTAACATTTAAATAACAAGTTCCAAATCCTAACTCTAATACTAATATAAATAGCCTAGTAGCATTAGTTATAGATTCAGAATTTTTAGAATGCTATCTCTTGTATTATGTAAAATAATATACAGATATGAGTCATATGAATTTTATAATAATCTGCAATAATAAATAACTTATTTTTTATTTTTTTATAAATATTAAAGGTAAGGTTATACCTTTAACTTTATTAAAATTCAATTAAAGTTTTATAAAAAAAAGTTTGGTTTTAAATTATATATAAAGTCTAAAAACTCAAACATATAATCTGTGATCCAAATCTACAAGAATAATCAAGACTTATCTAAATTTAGATGTTAGTAATAATATAAGAAAGAAAAAAATTATATTTAATCTATTAGATAGTTCAAAAATAAATTTTAATAACAATTTGTAGTATTAAAATAGGAGGTAAGAGTAGATTATAAAAAAAATTATAAGTTAAAAAATATAATTTGAGACTGTATAGGATTTATATTTATTTATATATTTGTTAATTTAAATAAAAAAGAAGTTTGATAGAAAAAAAAGTAATATTATAATAAGAAATAAAAATATTATGAATAGTAAAAATAAGATTAGAGAGGTGTGGTGACCTAGTGAAATGGTCAGGTTGTCAACCCTCCAAGTGGTAGATTGGGTGTTCAAATCCCATCGACGACAAAAATTTGGATAATCACCTATGTAATATTTGTATTATGGCA